GGCTCCACGCAAGATCTCACCCCGTGGGGTCAAAATGATCACAAGAACGGTAAGCAAAAATCCCAGGACCACACGGGGGGACCTAGTGAATGACCTGCAGAGAGTTGGGACCAACGTAACAAAGGCTACCATCAGTAACACACTACGCCGCCAGGGACTCAGATTGTGCAGTGCCAGATGTGTCCCCCTGCTTAAGCCAGTACATGTCCGGGCCCATCTGAAGTTTGCTAGAGAGCATTTGGATGATCCAGAAGAGGATTGGGAGAATGTCATATGATCAGATGAAACCAAAATAGAACTGTTTAATAGAAACACAACTCATCGTGTTTGGAGGAGAGAGAATGCTGAGTTGCATCCAAAGAACACCATACCTACTGTGAAGCATGGGGGTGGCAACGTCATGCTTTGGGGCTGTTTCTCCACAAAGGGACCAGGACGACTGATCCATGTACAGGACAGAATGAATGGGGCCATGTATCGTGAGATTTTGAGTGCAAACCTCCTTCCATCAGCAAGGGCATTGAAGATAAAACGTCTGGATTTTTTTTCTCATTTTGTCTCTCATAGTTGAGGTCTACCTATGATGCCAATTACAGGCCTCTCTCATCTTTTTAAGTGGGAGAACTTTCACAATTGGTGGCTGACTAAATATTTTTTTGCCCCACTGTATATACGGGCTAAGCACTGATAGTTTACCTGGCATTAGGAATGTAGCTCATGTACTAATGTAGTTTTCCATCAGGTCATCTATGGCAAACTGGCAGGTTTAGCTCACTGGTAGTGATTACATTCCTCATCTTAGATAGAGGTCTGGGCAGTGGTGGATCTAATACAATAATTGTGAATTACTTATAATTTATATGCAAATCTGTTACCATATAAAAATTGGTATGAATGAGTTTAACTCCCAAAGTGTTCTTATATTACATCCTACATGCCCTGTTGTCCACCATATGGAGAATTGCTTTTGGTTCTTTATTCTATTTATGATAAACAGGTACAACTTATGTAGGACAATTTGTTTATCTCTGTGTATTACTTGAAGGCCAGTAACTTCACTGGGTATATGTGAGGGTTTACAGACACTTTAATTTTATCCAATTGAATGTAAAGCAAGTTAGTACAAGAAATTGTCCAAAGTTTGAATAATCTAAAACAGACATATACAATCACAAAGCAAAATGTTTGGCATAGGCAAAGCAGTTTTATTATAAGTCTGTTGCTAAGTAGCCTGACATCAGCATCTGTCAGATGGCATTTGCTGTAGCCAAAATCTAAGGAATACATTTCACATTAATGCAACCACAACTCTTGGCAGATGTGATGGTGATGTTTTTTGTTTTTTTACCAGGGCAAGTCAGCTCAATCACATTCTGAATGGTCTCTATCTCCTTGCAGCATTGACATTTTCTCTCCATTTGAAATGAAGAATTTGAAAACCTGCATGTAAACAAACTGCTATGAGATTTCTAGGACTATATGTGACTAAGACAATTATTTCATGTTTTACATTACATTAAATTAGTGACATAATCAAATCAAAAGATTTACTTTGGCATTAATCAGAGCAGCAGAACATTACTCTTGGAAAGTCAGTGCTGAGCAACCAGAGTGATATACTTTGTATTTGACTACTCAGGATTCACCAATAACTGACGACTAGGGACTAAGCATTTTTTGTCACTGGACTAACAGGAATATGGCAGGGCAACATGTTAATATATTTTTACTTGGCTACCAAGATGCACAACAAACATATTGCATTTGATAAACGGAGACAAGGTGAATTACTTTGAACAACAAGAACTAAATAACATGGTTTCCACCAGACTACCTGGGATTAATAAAAATCTTTTTCAGAACCACCATCTGAAAGGGATCCTTATCTCAATGTGGATTTAGTAAAGCCAGAGAGTGCAAAATTGGGCTCACTTTTACATAGAAAGCAATAAGCTTCCAGGTTTTATTGCCAAAGCCTAACTGAACAAGCTGAGGCTAGAAGCTGATTGGTTTTTATGCAGAAGTGAGCCTGATTTTGCACTCTCCAGCTTTAGCAAATAAACCGGTATACCGGAGGAGGTGGATTCCACCATTCACTCACTTTGTTTGTGTGAATGGAGAAACCCATTAATTGTTTGTTAGAAAAAAAATGAACCCTCTATGGCGAGCTTGACCTGCCATTTACTTTATTTTCTGCATGAATACTTCCCTCTTAGCAGTTTTTCTTTTTCTAAGTTTGGGGTAAATTCTGGGTGACTGGTGCCCATTCTGAAAAATATATAGCCAGGCTATGTAAAGTAGCAGGGCTTTTACTTTCCTAGGGACTAGTGCCCTGGAAAGCTCACTATGGGTCTCAAGTAAAGCTCATAGTTTCCAACAAAAAAGGGAGGTGGGGGATCCCTTGTCATGCAAGGAAAAAGACCAAAATAGAATTACAACTGCTTACACTGCAGTCACCCAGTGAGGGGGGGGACACGCATCCCTTCTAGTGCTCAGGTGGAGAAAAAACCTGTCTCAACACAGGGTCAGTGTGGTCGCTCTCTATGCCTCGAGCATTCCCATCAAGAGTGCTCTGTGGGGTTCTCAGTTGGTTGAACAAATTGGTAGGAAGAGTCAGTGCAAAAAAATTCCATAGATAGCTTAATTGGCAGAGGCGCCCGGTTGTTTAAAGAATAGGCACAAGTTGTGTGGGAGTTTTTGGAAAAGATGTCATCTAGGTGGACCACATGCAGCCAATGGCTATATGTGATCCACTTAGATGACATGCATTTTAACCTACCTGATTCACCACTCCCCAACAGATGGCACTCCCTGAGCTCCCCCACCTTCTGGCAATGAATTTTCCAGTGACATAATCATATCCATTGCAGGATCTACCTTGCACTGGTGTTGATGACATCAGGACCTTAGACCACTGGAGCATAAGGGATGCTGCAAGGACTGGTCTAGAAGCATGGAGGAGTGGAGGATCAGGCAAGAAAATTTACTTTAACAAGTCCCCTAGACATAAATGAGCAACTGACTCTTTCAGTGCAGGCACAGCCCCACCGCAAGGGATAATTTTAAAGTAGCCCAGAGTTGGGCTTTAAAGCCTAATGCTAGGCAGCTGCAACACAATATTACCCTTTAGTTGGGCCACCTGTACAGAAATTGTTAAAATTCTTATTTAAGCTGGCCAGACACATTTCTTATTCAATTTCCTTTACATTTTCCTTCAACTATGTAGTGCAAGGACCTGCCTGATAGCATACAAATTGAAAGTGTTTAGGTTTGACCTTAAATTACATGGTTATGGTAAATCTAAAGGAAAACTGTACAAAAAAATTGTATAAGGTATACATATATAGTCTAGGGAGAACTAGGAATAAGCAGTAATACTTACTTTATGCCTTGGTCTTACAGGATTCCTCCCAACCATATGACCTCTCTCTCAAAGCCACTTCTCTCCAATGTCATTATGCACAATGTAGAATGGCGAGGGCCCATCCACATGCTGGGACATCGGAGAGCAGAAGAGTGCACCGGCTGGTAGGCGATCGAAGAATAAGGTATGTATTACTGCGTATTCCTATCAACTGTCAAAAAACAAGCATCATCAGGGCACTCATGTGTCCATCAGTGCCAGCTGTCAGTGCTCATCAATGCCACCTGCCAGTGCCCATCAGTACCACATCAATACCACATATCAGTGCCTACCAGTGCACATCAATGCCACATATCAGTGCGCATCTAAGCTTCCTTTCATTGTCACCTATCAGTGCCAGTCAGTGCCACCTATCAATGCCAGTCAGTGCTACCAATCAGTGCGCATCAGTGCCGCCTATCAGTGCTGCCTATCAGTGCCAGTCAGTATCACCTAACAGTACCAGTCAGTGCCACCTATCAGTGCCAGTCAATGCCGCCTATCAGTGCCACCTGTCAGTGCCCTATGTGAATGCTGCCTTTCAGGGCCCATCAGTGATGCCTGTCAATGCCCATCAGTGCCACCTACCAGTGCCTCCTCATCAGTGCCACCTATCAGTGCCCATCAGTACAGCCTATCAGTACCCATCACTGCAGCCTCATTAGCGCACATCAGTGAAGGAAAAAAATCACTTATTTACAAAATTGTATAACAAAAACTAAGAAAAAACTTTTTTAAAAAAAATTTTCAGTGGTTTTTGGTTTGTTTAGCAAAAAATTAAAAACCCAGATGTGATTAAATACCACCAAAAGAAAACTCTATCTGTCTCAAAAAAATGATAAAAATTTCATTTGGGTACAGTATTGCATGACCGCACAATTGTCATTCAAAGTGTGACAGCGCTGAAAGCTGAAAATTGGCCTGGACAGGAAGGGGGTATAAATGCCCTGTAGGCGAGGGGTTAAAGTAACCAACAGTTCTGCTTTAAGATTAAAGAGAGTATAGGTAAAAGTGAATAAAATGCAATATTCATACATAAACTATAAAATACTATATAATATCAGCATAATAATTACAGTTTTATAGTAAAACGATTTGCTTTGGTTTAGTAAATTACTTGTATTAAATCCATGGTAATGTAACCTCTATAATTTATAGATATTTACAAAAGAATGCCACAGAAATGATACTTACTCACTCGAGCTCCAACATGTCCCCTGACAGTATGAAAGATGGACTTTAGCACTACAACCATTTTGAGAAATTGCAGTCAGTTTTGATTGTATTATGCATGGTTTTGGAGCTAAAACAAAGGCAAAAATTTGTTACACAGAACGCAAAATGTTATTCCTTAAAAGAGAATAGATATTCAATACATAAATCATTCATATAGTAAACATAGTGCAAATTGAAAAGATAGGGGGGGGTACTTTTTTGCACCTGACTTTTGCATTAGGAAAGTCTTCTCTACAGTGAAAGCTGTGAAACTGGGAAAAAGTATTTCATAGGAACTAGTCTGAACCAACTCTGCAGATTGCTTTAAAAAGAGCAGGAGTGTTGATCCAACATGAGTATACAGATCCAGAGTTCTGTCTCCCTTAACCCCTTCACGCCGGCCGCACGCAAATGTGCGGCCTCCCAGCGTCTGGGCCTAGACGTCAAGCAGCCGCATATTTGTGTTCATGTAGCAAAAAACATATATGTGCTGAGAGCGCGCGCCCTGCGTGCTCCCAGCACACATGTGAGGTACTCAAGGAAAAGTCCTGGTCCGCTCTTTTGATCGGGACCTTTCCCGATCATGTGACCGGCTGTGACGTGATGTCACAGCGGCCACATGATCCTAAGCCACGCCCCATCCCGCCCACCTCCCTGCGCAGGAACGCCTCTTCACGCCAGGAAGATCCGGTGTGAAGGGGTTAAAAGAGAAGTATGCACTTTATAAAAAAAAAAACAAAACATTTATACTCACTTATGAAGCAACTAATAGTAAACTAGTGTGCTGCCTCCAGTGACCCTCAAAGTGCATCCAAATAAATCACAAAAAAAAAAAAGTAATCTCTCAAGTGAAATTCAAGAGGCTGCTGCTCACAATAAAGTGTTTCCAGCACAATAAACAACAAAATAAAAAGTGTAGCACTGTAATATAACACTATTTAGCTTCTAGGAGCAGAAAACATATGCTGATAATAGTTTCTAGCAGCTTAAAAAACGCTAGTGTGCATGGAGCCTGACTCAGTTCAGTAATAGATGAAAACTGAAATGAATCATGGGTCTCGACCAAGTTCTCTACTGTCTCCTAAAACACTTCTGAGTAAATAAAAAGATTACATAATGTTGGGTTGAATATTACCAATACATATATTGCAGCAGCCATCAGGTGTCTTCAAATATTGTCCCTGTGGTACAGAAAAGAGAATGATGGTAACACTGTAAACATTTCAAGTTACAAAAGCAATATTTTTATAATATTTTAATATTCCTGTCATAAAGTCTAAAGTTGTTTTCAAAAACGAAGCATGTTCATTGACTTAGTCTGGGTGGAGAGCCAATAGGAACAGCCCCTCTCATTGTATTTAGGATTATAAAGCTCCTCTGATGCACTCTACATCACTCTGCAGCTGTTTCTACACATCTTGATACTGGAGTATTCCTTTTTCTTGAAGTAAAAGAGGCAAAACCCTAGACCAGTGGTTCTCAACCTGTGGGTCGCGACCCCTTTGGGGGTCGAACGACCCTTTCACAGGGGTCGCCTAAGACCATTGGAAAACACATTTTTTCTGATGTGTAAAGAGCAGCTACTGTGTAGAAAGCAGCTGCTGTGTTGAAAGCAGCTACTCTGTTAAAAGCAGCTACTGTGCTGAAAGCAGCAGTATTGGAGGTAAAACGACACTTCATGAATTATAATTACTGGGTAAATCATTTTATGGTTGGGGGTCACCACAACATGAGGAACTGTATTAAAGGGTCACAGCATTAGGAAGCTTGAGAACCACTGCCCTAGACCATCAGGATTAGCAGGAGTATTAATGGCAGAGAATTTGAAGAATTTAAAAAGATTGTCTACCAGGTTAAACATAAATATATTTTTTTTCTATTCCAATTATAATCTATCCAGAACAAAACTGACTGGAGAAATACTTTGAAGCTGGACTCTGACATCAACCCGTATTGAAGATGAATGTATTCAACCAGATGCTGTCTGCAATCTGGCTAATAACACTGATATCCAATTCAGATGAGAATTAACAATGTGCACCTTTAAAAATACATAGTTTTATATTAAAATTATTATACAGAATTCATACAACACCAACAGTTTATGCAGCGATTTACAATATATAACGGGATAGTACAATTACAATACAGTTCAGTACAGAAGGAATAGGAGGGCCCTGCTCATTGATCAATCTAAAGGGAGGGGGAGGTGGCACAAAAGGTAATAGCTGCAGGGGATCTGGTGGAGGTGACCCGAGTACAGATTTTAGGAGGACGTGGGATAGGCTTCCTTGAATAAATGAGTTTTCAAGGATTGCCTAAAGGCAGACAGGGTAGGAGCTGATCAGACAAACTAGGGCAGGGAGTTCCAGAGGATGGGAGAGGCTCTGAAGAAGTCCTGGAGGTGAGCGTGGGTGGAGGTGACAAAGGAGCTATAGTAGAAAATAAAGAAAATAGAGTAAGGAATAAGGGCTGTATATGACCTTAAAACAGTGTAAAATAATCTAGATAGGTATAGTATTTATAGAGTTAAACGCCAGCTTAACTGATTTATACTGACACTTCTAAATTTAGTCTAGTGAAGTTGGCTTTAGTGACCTCTTGTCATGAAGGTTAAGTATATTCTGTATTGTCCGAAAAATTCTAATGAATCTGGTAAGGGCTGTAATTTGATAGGTTTCTACAAGGGGTGTTCAATTCAAACCAGGACTTTTAATTTTACAGGTAATAAAAGGGATGCTAGCCTGGCCGTACTACACGCAGTAGTAAGTGGTAAGTTTGTCTTTTTACTGATATGTGAAGCACATTTGGCGGGCAAGTCCACAGAACATTTATCAAGATGGCAGACAACAATGTTAGTGCGTGCATGGAATAGCATGTAGTGATGACATTTCTTGTGAATGAAGGGTAAAACCCCGGATACTAACAGAAGACTTCAAGCACAGTATGGTGATGAGACGCTCAGCTGCAGTAAAACATTTGAATGGTGTAAACGTTTCAAAGATGGCAGTATGTCCGTCAGTGACAATCCTGGCCATGGTGGTTCCCAGCCCACAGCAGTCATTGCTTTAAAAATTCAGCACCTGAAACACCTAATTCTGGATAAAAGCAGGTATTGCCAGCCCTTACAGCCAAGACCTTGCTCCGAGTATTTTCCACCTTTTCTGACCCCTAAAAGAATTCCTCAGAGGTCAGCATTTCAGCACTGTTGACGAAGTAAGGCGGGCTATCCTAGGATGGTTCAGGCGTACTGACAAAGCTTTCTATGTAGAATCTTTCCAGGCATTAGTTAAATGCTGGGATACGTGTATAAATGTAGCAGGGGAGTATGTAGAAAAATAATGCAGTTTCCACTTGTTGAAATTTGTTCTTTTATTATATAAACTCAAAAGACCTGGTTTAACTTGAACGCCCCTCATATATACGTATCCTGGAATTCTTAGGAACAAAGAGAGCAAATGGGAGCAGGAGTAAGAAAAAAACAGGAAGTACACCAAGAAAGATTTTGGGAAGGGTTAAAGTAGATCTAAATCCACTCACGAAAATTTCATATACACTTTAACATGTCAGTGTAACTTCAAAAGTTGTTTTTAATCTATCTACTTGTATGTAGCTTTCTTTAAAATAATCTCTGGTAATCCTACTATGAAAGTCCTTGTTCGCGCACTTCCTGTCATGGGTTGACAACTATCTTCTAACTGGGTTCCTACACATTCATCCCGTCACATGAGCCTCTCATGGAGGCTACTAGTGGCTGAGCCAATACACAGCTAGACCCAGAAACCAGACCAGAACAACAATGTAAAACCAATGCTGGAGGGAGTGTGTGTAGAGAAGTGGCTGAAGAAGACTGGAGATCAGGAAGTGGGGAGATGCAAATAATGGTTTCATATGGAGTTCACCTTGAAACTTTAACATGACAAATACCCCCCCCCCCCCCCTCCAAAAAAAGAGTAAAGATCGCAGCTTAAATGTGTTTTCAGATTCACATTTTTATGCGGTTTAACAAGTCATACCCGATTTTTGTTCTTGGATATTTGTATGTTAGTTGGGCTATTACAGGTTGAGCAATTGCAGAGTAAGATTAACTAGAAAAGCTACAATTTCTGGGGAAATTGTGTGAAGTGTTCTTGCCTGCACCAGTAGTCTACAACTGGAGTGGGCGGAGTAGCTTTTGTCACTCTGCTGCCTGCTCACACACCTGGGTTCCTATGGCAACTCACTCTACAGCAAGGGAAGAGAAGAGCGGTTAAAAACAAACTGCTCGTACTTGCTCACTTCACTGGCGGTTGCCATCTTCAAACGGTTGTAGTTTTAAAATTCTAAATCCTATACTGAAGAGCTTTATATTGTGAGAATCACAAGACCCAGACCTACATTTTGATGCATAGTATGTCTGAAATATTAAAAATGAAGGCACAGTCGCAGTTTAGAAATTGCCCTTCAAATTTCAGGTGGCTAGAGTGGAGTTTCAATGAATGTCAATGGGCGGCATGAGTTGCAAACAAATGGTCATATTGTGAAAACTGTCAGGACTATGGCTTAGCAGTGGACATTTTTAGTGGCAGCAGGGATAGCTGAACGTTATGATATAAGATATGTGTAGGTGGGCTTGAAAATGAGGGAGTGATGGCAGTTTAGAAATCATGTCCTGATTTTTCATCTCACACTCTAGCTTTTGTCAGCTCCCACTCTAGTTTTGAACATTCCGCCATTCATTCCTAAGGGACCAATTTCACCACAAAAACGTTGATATTTTGTGAACCATTCGGCGAAACGTTCCACAAAGTAATAGCACACCAATTGGGAACAATCCACACGTTTTGGCAGATTACGGTCTATGTAGTGTAAAAACTGTGGGAGGAGTTAGGGTGGTAAATTTGGCTGTAATAATAAGAATATATATGTGAGATAACAGTAAGTGGTCTTGCCATGCAAGAACACTTAATAATGTGTGTACAAAATACATTATTTGCATTCAATCAGATTGTGCATACTGTACAACTCACAGACTCACAGTCCTCCTTGTGAAGCAAAGGACAAATCTGTGTTCGTGTTGCTGTCACCAGGCTATTTCCCATACGTTCACATGTGTATTGGGTGCAGTTGTCAGAAACTGAATTTCCAGGCTAAAATTCAGAGAATCATTGAAACAATCTATGGATTATATGCCAAAATTTTTAAATGAAATACATTGTAAAAACAAAAGACCATGGATAACAGGTAAAAATAAATATCAAGATAGCTATAGTTCAATAACAAAAATTTAAACCTGCCACATAGATTCTAGTGTTCTGGACCAGTTCAGAGCAACAGTAGACCCATACAAAGTATAACACAGCACAAAATATATACAGAAAATAATCCTGTCATTACATGTGTAGACATTACATCATGTGAACTATTTTACATTTCGTGCAGATGTATTTAGCATGGAATAAAGCATATCTAACCCCAATAAATTAAAATGTAATACATTACAGTTTACCAGTCCTTTATTTCATTATTGTCATCTGGTGATGCTGCCTTTGACACTCCCTGCCCTAGGGGGAAAACACTCATCTAATATATCTATTGGGCAGCAGCGTGGTTTCCTAAGGCTACTCTCCTGGTGTGCACTACAAACACCTCCCTCTGTCATTATCTTTATTACAGAGGAAGGAGGGCTTTTTTTAGTTCATGGCAGATATCTAGGGAAGCTGACAATGCTGTTTGAGATTTCAGTGCACAGGTTGAAAAGGACTAGTAATCTGCAATATATGACATATTTGGTTTTGTGTTTTTATACTGTACATATAAAGTATTCTGTATTTGGGTTTTTTCTGCCTCAGTCCAAATGAATTCGTTACTTGTAGTACTACTACTTCTGACTGTCAATTTGTGGCAAACATAAGTCACTGTCTCGGTCACATTCATCTTAATTGTAAAACAAGTCATAAATTCCCACTATGTACAGATCATAACCCAAATGCAGTTTAAAAAATAGACATTTGTATATAAAAAAAATTCTTCCAGTTTATAGGATTGTAAATGTAAAAGAATTACAAATAAAAGACCTATATGTTACCATCCTTTATCCTTAGCATTTAACAGTTCTGCGTCCCAATCATGAACAAAAATAAAGCATGCTCTCAGAAATCTAAAGCAATGTTTCCTCCATGAGTCAGTCATTGTTGACATGATAAGGGAGGACCATAAAGCGGTAGTAAACCACAAAAAAATGCAAAAAAAAGTCTTCTCCCTGCAAGTTAAGAGCATAATGTGCTAGTATGCATCACATACTAGCACATTATGAAAGACCTACCTGAAAACAAAGCCCTCCAGCGGAGCACTGTCTTGGCTCCCCGGGGCTTCCATGTTCACCTGGTCTTCTTTCCAGGTTCACGGGCTGTGGACGTTTGACTGGCCAAGTCACAATGACATCACTCCCACGCATGCATGATGGATTCTCGGCTGCGGCACAGCTGTCAATGGACGACATGCTTCCCATTGAGAGCGCAGTGCTCATGTCCCGGTGACATCACTAGCACTGCTAAAGTAAATATCTTCTAATCAGTGCACGTTTAGAAGATATTTACAGTACCTACAGGTAAGCCTTATAATAGAGAAAAAAATACTTTACTACCACTTTAAAGAAGGTTGGAACCCAAAAACAAATTATTGTTGATATCCAGTCAGTCTGGTTCACACCTGTGCATTTTTTTAGTGTATTTTGCATTTAGCACTACAGTCCATTTAACATGGTTTCCTATGGATCAAGTTCACATCTATGATTTTTGAGCTGGTGCATTTTTTGGAAAGGGTCAGGGGCTTTTTCTCACAGCAGATTGTGTTTTGCGTGTAATAGACTTCAAGGGGCCCTCACCAAAAATGCAAGTGTTGTGTTTTTGATGCGTTTTGCTAAGGGTTTTTTTTTTTTTTTGGCTAATTGGAAAGCATGACAGTTCTGTTCATGTAGTGTGATGCAACCCTGATGGGACTATACACTCTCTGGTACTCACGTAGCATCAAAGTCACATCAAAGTAGTGCAGGAACCTTTATGTGTCCAAAGTCACATGTTAGGGTTAAGGGCTAGGGTTAGGGTTAAGGACTAGGGTTAGGGTTAAATTGTGGTAATTGTTAGGGTTAGAACATTAACCCTAGTGATTACTGCTAACCCTAACACTAATGATTATCGCTAACCCTAACCTTAATGTTTACCACTAAATCTAATCCTAGTATTTAGCCCTAACCCCAATCCTAACATTTAACCCTAGCCCTTAACCCTAACATGCGACTTGGACACATAAAGGTTCCTGCAATACTTTGATGCTACTTGAGTGCCAGAGAGTGTAAAGCTGAATCAAAGTCGCATCAAAGTTGCGCTACATAAACAGAACTGTCATACTTTCCTTCTAGCCAAAAAAATTGACTTTTGATACATAAAGTTTCCTGCATTAATTTGATGTGAATTTGATGCTACTTGAGTGCAGGAGAGTGTAAAATCACATCAAACTCGCACTACATGAACATAACTGTCATACTTTACTATCAGCCCAAAACAAAACAGCAAAAAACTTCAAAAAACACATAAAAAATGTGAGTGTTCAAAAATGCAAAATGTGGTGAAAAACTCATTGAGTGCATATATGTGAACCTAGCCTTAAAGTAATATTTTTATAAACGGGTAATGAGACTAAAAAAATTACTTCCAGTTACTTTTGTCAAAATGATCTGTAGATTTGGAGATGCAGCCAATTGCATTTATAGGTAGCTTTAAATTGTCCCTAAATAATCAAGTTAGCAACACTTCTATCAAGCCTCCCTATTGATCAGTGAGGTACTCAATCATTTTTAAGTACCAGTAGGAAAGCCTTTGAGGAAGGAAGAGCAGGACCTAGCATAATCTTTCAGGAAAATTCAACATTTCCATGGAGTTCCAGCTGCCTATATCTCTGACTCCACTGATTATTTTATCTCATTGTAGCTAATGCCTGCGTATACATTTTTTCATCAATGCTTGCTTTTAATTGCCCAAGTTTGTAACATGTTTACTTAAATTAAGCTTGCACTGAGATGAATATAGAATATATGCCATTGCTAATCTCCTTATAAGAATACTAGATACCTGGCTTTCTATGAATTAAATTGAGTCACTGAACACCATGAATACACATCAAAGTGAGAACAGTTTTGCCTACATGCTTGGGGTTGATGACTTGGAGTATTTGGGCTTCTGGATCAGAATGACAGCCAGCAAATGTCATTTTTCCAGGGACAGTCAGCAATGACAGCCCCATATTCTCTCAGTATAGGTCCCCTTTAAGAAGACTGACTCATTTTTATATTAGCAGCAACCCTAGCTTTAGCACAGACCCAAGACCAAATTTAACAGGTTCTAGTAATAAAACCTAACCCAGTTTTTTATGTACTAAAAAATAAAGAGACTAAAGAGATTAAAAGTCCTTTGTGTGCAATGAATGTTCACCAAATACCTGCAGAGTAAAGAGAGATCCATTGGAGGCAGTCACAACACAGGATACCTGGACACACACTCCACAACAACCATTGCTTGCTTCTTCATAAACAAATCCCTGTACAGTGAAGACCAGTAAGCAAAGTTATCCATATGTACAGGGTGGATACATACAGCACTTCAAACAAATGTAGTCAAATTAATACTAACCTTTGTGAGAAGACAAAAATAATTGATAATCACCTTTCAGCCCTGCATTTGGCAAAAGAATTAGATTGAGTTTTAACCCAATGCTCTGAGACCCCGCTAAGTGATGCAGGATATAATTGGGCTCACTAGTTGCATTTGCGGCTTTGCGGACTCCCACCAATTAAGTGAGATCAAAGCTGTGAAGATGGCATGTTTGAAGTTTCTTCCCTTATTTCACATATGGCCCTCCATCCTCAACATTGTAGGTTTCCCACTTCCAAACCACGTATACACAGCCTCCTGTGCGATTACATATTTCTAGCCAGGTCAGTTGGATATCGAAGATTAAGATTTAACTTAATATGAGAGTGTAACCCTAGAATAAAGGCTACAAGAAGCTACCAAACCAGGTAAGCAGTTTAGTACTCGAAAGTGAGGAATTAAACATTTTCCCTGAGCATGTTAAGAGGAGTAGCACGCTTAGGAAGTCATGAAATCTAGAAGGAATTTGTCACTGAGAAAGGGGAGAGTTCTTGTTGCATACTGGACACTTTCACCCCTTTCCTGCCCATTTTCAGCGCTGTCACACTTTGAATGACAATTGCGTGGTCATACAACACTATACCCAAATGAAATTTTGGGTATAGTTATGGGCACTGTTATGCTGCACTATTGTACATGGACTGGCACTGATGGGCAATGATATGCTGCACAGATGGGGTTGCATTGATCAGCAGGGCACTGATCATCAGTGCTGATTATCAGTGAAAATGTCCCCTGTCACAGGAAAACAGGTCTTAGTTTTTCCTTTCTTCAGACAGTGACAACGCTGAGGAAAGGAAAAGCTGACAACTGCCATTTATCTACAGATAATCAGCTGTGATTGGACACAGCTGATCACATGGTAAAGAACCAATGCCATACCCTGATCAGTGATGCGCTGTGTCTGAGGGACACAGCTCACCACCAATCGCCGTGCTGTGAAAGGCCCACCCAGCCATCAATTTGCTATTTGCCGGCCGGGTACCAGTTAATATTTAAAGTCTTCACGCCGGCTGAACGCAAATGTGCGGCCTCCTGGCATCTGGGCCTAGACCCAGAGCGGCCGCACATTTGCGTTCTATTAAAAAAGGACATATGTGCCGAGAGTGGGCGCCCTGCATGCTCCCAGCACACATGTCCGGTACTCACAGAAAGGTCCTGATCTCCTCTTTTGATCGGGACCTTTACCGATAATGTGACTGCCATGATGGCGCGTCACAGCGGTCACATGACCCTAAACCCCGCCCCACCTCCTGGCTTCTGGAACTCTTAAAGGGCCGGGAGGTGCTGGTGTGAAGGGGTTAATGTGTACTTTGTGACATTGCTGCTAAAATGGTGTAGCACAGATACAAAGTATGCTTTCTTTAATTATTACTTAATAACAATCATTAAAAAAAATATGTTCAGAAACTATCATATACAATGTATGCAATTGGCTTGTGTATGTTTAAGAACAGTGGTGTATTTAGGTTTTGTGCTGCCCTAGGCAACACAAAAATCAAACCCCACCCCTCTCCCCGGCAGAGAGCGAGTCTCACACTGACCAAATCTCCCCCCCCCCCTCCTGCAGAGAGAGCCTGACAGTGACCAACAACACCCCTGCCCCATCCCCCTCCACCCGACCCGAGAGAGCCTTCCACTAACCCCCCCCCCCCCCCCCCCCCACGGCGACAGACAGAAAGACACTCACCTTTATATCTCTGGACATCCCCGGGAATGGCAGTTAGGCTCTGCGAACACCATCAAGCAGCCCGCAGCCTCTCTCGGATCCCACATGGTCCCCATGCCGCATATGTCCCTTCTTCCAGGGTGCAGTGCTGCCCCCCTAAAAAATGCCACCCTAGGCAAATGCCTTGTTTGCCTTGTGATAAATACACCCCTGTTTAAGAACCTACACTATATTGGCAAAAGAATTGCGACCCCTGCATATAAACGCACAAGAACATTATTTGCATCCCAGTTTTAGTCTGTAGGGTTCAATATTGAGTTGGCCTGCCCTTTGCAGCTATAACAGCTTCAACTCTTATAGGAAGGCTGTCTACAAGGTTTAGGAGTGTGTCTATGGGAATGTTTGACCATTCTTTCAGAAGCGCATTTGTGAGGTCAGGCACTGATGTCGGATGAGAAGGCCTGGCTCGCAGTCTCCACTCTAATTCATCCCAAAGGTGTTCTATTGGGTTGAGGTCAGGACTCTGTGCAAGCCAGTCAAGTTCCTTCACTCCAAACTCGATCATCTATGTCTTTATGGACCATGCTTTGTACACTGGTGCGCAGTCATGTTGGAACAGGAAGGGGCTATCCCCAAACTGTTCCCACAAAGTTGGAGCATGAAATTGTCCAAAATGTCTTGGTATGCTGATGCTTTCAGAGTTCCCTTCAGTGGAACTAAGCCCAACCCCTGAAAAACAGCCCCACAACATAATCCCCCCCCTCTCCACCAAACTTTACACTTGGCACAATGCAGTCAGGCAAGTACCATTCTCCTGGCAAGCGTGATTCATCACTCCAGAGAACACGCCTGCACTGCTCAAAAGTCCAGTGGCTGCATGCTTTACACCATTGCATCCAACGATTTTTATTGTACTGGGTGATGTCAGCACCTGTGGTAGTGAGCCCTTGTAGATAGTCAACTTGGAGTTCCCCAGGGAGCAGAGTCTAAGCCCCAGCCTGCTTCTTTACCAGAGCCCCTGATGGTGGGGATGGACTTGCAGCAAGCTGGGACCAGGTCGCAGCCCCTGGGTACGCCCAGCTGAGAATGAGGAGACCGCTGGCAGGAGCAGAGTACAATGGGAGGAGACAAACAGAAATCCGATAGACTAACTGAGGTCAGGACGGGTGGAAAACAAGCACAGTCAGAGAAAAATGTCATTACACGAGTAGCCAATGCAGGATACAGGCGATAGCAACACACAGGAGCTCAGACAACTAGGAAGTTGCTCAGGCAAAGTGGCCTAGACTGAGCATGTCTTATATAGACAGGCAACCAAGGAGGCGGGCCAGGAAGTGATGGAAGGGAAGGAAATAAAACCCAGAGAACAGCAGATGACGCCCATAGGTGAGCACAGACAAACACACATGTAAAAGGGATCAGGAACAGCACTGCAGCAAGGAAGTAAAAATACACAAACAAGAAACTGCAGGCTAACTTGTGACAGGTGATGTAAGACTTGGATGCAGCTGCTTGACTATGGAAACCCATTCCATGAAACTCTCTCCGCATGTTGTCGTGCTAATCTGAAGGCCACATGAAGTTTGGAGCTACTTAGCTATTGACTCTGCTGACAGTTGGCAACTTCTGTGCTCTTCAGCATGTGCTGACCCTGCTTTGTTATTTTACATGGCCTACCACTTCATGGCTGAGCTACTGTTGTTCCCAGTTGCTTCCACTTTGTTCCAATACCACTAATAGCTGACTGTGGAATATTTAGTAGCAAGAAAATTTCACGGATGGTCTTATTGCACAGGTGGCAACCTATCACGGTACCACACTTGAATTCACTGAGCTCCAGAGAGTGACTCTTTCTTTTACAAATGTTTGTAGAAGCAGTCTGCATGCCTAGGTGCTTCATTTTATACACCTGAGGCCATGGAGGTGATTGGAACATCTGCATTTAATGATTTGGAGGGGTGTCCCAATACATTTGGCAATATAGTGTATGTTGACAGACTTTGGGCTAGTGTCAGTTTGATCAGTTTTAAGTCAATCTGAGATGCTTCTAAGATCATTCAGAATTCAGTAGCATGTTCATTTGCTCTGCAGTTAACCTTTTCTGACCTGCATTTGACCTACTGATTTGCATGGGTATGCAAACCAATTTAAAGTGAACAAAACTGACACAGATCCCAATGCAGCTACTGTATTTTCCGGCGTATAAGACGACTGGGTGTATAAGACGACCCCCTACTTTTCCTGTTAAAATATAGGGTTTGGGCTATACTCGCCGTATAAGACTACCCCTCTTCCAACGCACACCAAATAAAAATTAAAAAACATCAGATTGGATTTCAATATGGTATGGTATTCCAATGATGGGGCACGATTCCTTGCTCTGACACCAATGATGGGGCACGATTCCTCGCTCTGACACCAATGATGGGGCACTATTCTTCCCACTGACACCAATGACACTTGCTGACTCCTGTTCCAGTATGGTACTGCTGTAGCCAGCATATGCGATTGCAGCAGCACCTCTGCACTGCACACTTACCGGCTCCCTCACTCGATTTTCTTGGGTCCGCTCGGTTCCGCCTCCTCGCCCGTGATTGGCCGCCTGTGTGCCTTTCCTGAGCTACAGTTCTGGTGGCCAATCACCGTTGAGGAGGCGGAGCCGAGCGGCAGGAGTGAGGGAGTGGCCGGAGTGACTGAAGGAGCAGCGCTTCCTGAACTGGATCGTCGTGGGAGCCAGGTAAGAGACAGCAGCCCTCTGCCCACCCCTGTAGTTAGTGTCCCTTCCGTCAGAAGGGGGGGGCGGCGGCGGCACCACGCCGCCCCCCTAAAACGTGCCGCCCTGACTTTTACCGGCGTATCAGACGACCCCCGACTTTTCAGAAGATTTTCAAGGGTCAAAAAGTCGTCTTATATGCCGGAAAATACAGTTATAAAGAAGAGGTTTTGTGTCAGACCATTGCCTGCACAGAAACTCTGATAATCACATGAGAAATAGCTTAAAGATTTTTATAATTACATTTTTATAATTACAATTATATTGCACTTACCAATGGACACTTTTTCATGCAAATAATAGGGTTACAAGTCATTTTATTAAAACCAGACTGGGAGTCTTTAATGTTTGAGCATCTGCAAGTCTGACAAGGTGGCATATCTGTCCAGATTAGTTTACCAACCTGTGAAGACATGAGAAATAATTTAAAGGATCTCTTTAGCTACAAACACTCAGATAGACATGAATGTCCAACAGATGGGTAGGTCTAGCTTTACCTGGTACACAGTCCCATTGACTTTGCAAACATTCATGGGCTCTGTTTGGAAAGAAAGTGGTATTTTTATTAACTTTCCTTACTCAGATGTATTTATTAACTGCTACTAAAGAGTAAAAATAACAATGCTAATATATGGCATATTAGTGGAGGAAGTCAAAGTAAAAATCAGTTATGCTATATACATACAGTAATAAATATACCCCCTTTTAACTTTTTTTGTATCAGTGAATTGGTCCCTGCTGCCAGCTGAGAAAATCTCCCTGCCAGTTGTTTATGCTGGGAATTTAAATGGCTGACAAGGCTAAAACACAAACTTATGGCCAGGAAAGGAGCCACTCAAGATCTTTTGTTTCTCTCTGATGATTGACGTATGCACAGCCTTGGTGCTGTGTAATTGACTGGCACTTCTGTGGGTTGGTCCAATGCTAAAGGAAAAATCAGATCACATGAAGTTCCTGAAGATATTTTTTGGAAATCAGATCCTTCCAGAGACCAAGCTCCCTGCACCAACAAAATGCCTAGCACTCCAGTCTGACAAGCTGGCATCCATTGTCAGGAATCTTCAGAACATGGGAAGAAAGAACTTTTTCAAATCAATTGCTGGATCCTAAAACCACCAAGCCAGGGACAGCCTGGTCCTTTGTGTCATCCAGAATGGTCTGTCCAGAGACAGTACTGACTTGACGCACAAGGAATGAATGTTGTGATGCAAATGCTTGACGTGGAATTGAGCAAATCGAACTGACTCAATTAAGACTAACATAAGCCCCAAGGTCCTCATGCAGAAGTGGAGGGTCAGACCACTTCTGGAATAAAAAAAACACATAGCATGCTTGTTATACTCACTGTGGAACCTAAGGGGTTAAACCTCCGCATTGTGTAAAAAGGCTGTTTGACCCTGTCTTCTCTGATCCTCCCCTTCTTCTACTGTCCCCAATCCATCTGCTGATAGTACAGAGCTCTAGGAGGCACTCTGCACACGCTCAGTTCAGTGGTGTATTTTGCTTTTGTGCTGACCTAGGCAACACAATAATCGGGCGCCCCCCTTTCCAAATGAGAGAAAGAAAAAGAGAGAGGGAAAAAAAGAAAGAGAAAGGGTGAAAGAGAGAGAGAGAGAAAGGGAGAGAGAGAGAGAGAGAAAAGAGAAAGGGAGGGGGAGAGAGAGAGCTGTAGAAAGAGAGAGGCGTTGTACAATTGTTACCCTCCCCTGGCAGTCATAGAGAAGCTGTCATAGGAGCTGTGCTGTGCCTGAATGTCTGCTCTCCATCTCCTTGGTGATCTCGCTGCAGGCAGAACCAGGGGGAGGTGGGGTGGGGCTGGAGCATGGTGGGGAAAAAAATCACCAATCACCCAGGGGGAGAGGAGTGGAGGACAAGTGACAGCTGGGTGGTGCGACAATGCTGCCCACCTTAAAAATGCCACCCTAGGCAAACACCTTGCTTGCCTTGTGGTAGATACACCACTGACTCAGTTTAGTGTGTATAGCTAGAGAGTTTTTTTCCTTTGGGAAAGTGCATGTGATCAACTCAGGGCCAATCAGTGTGCTGTCCAGACGGGGTCAGGGGTTATGCAGCCTCATTGGACAGTCAGGGCAGAATGAAAACTCATCCTACTAGCTTTGACTAGTGCTCAACTAGAAGTCACAAGACTGCTATATACTGCTGATGAGAAAAGGTATTTAGTTTATATTTACTAAAATAATTACATTTCCATGTTCTGTGTACTGTGGGAGACCAGATATAGTGAATGCAGGGTCCTGGGTTTAAAAACACTTTAATATATCCTAGTGAGTGTATATTGTAATACTGGAAGTGTTGACACAACCATAATTTAGGAAAACAAAAGATATATGCAAACAATATACTGATGTGTTTACTTAATATGGTATTATCTTTCTAGGTCATTCTAAGGATATTTCCAATCTAATCAATGTGGTGATATATTGTCCCTGTGGACAAATATAATGTATAGGCAGTTATTTTAAGTTTCCCAAGTCAATTATGGTAGGCTGATAAAAATGTTATGCTAGATGTCCTTAAAAGAAATGGTATACCTTAACAAAGAAGAATCACACATGTTATTAGTTATTATGAGATAATTAGAATTTGGTAACAGGAAAGTGCACTTAATTTGAATATTGCATTTACAGTTTATTACTATTTAAGATTTGTATAACTAATGGTTTATTTCTAGGGGAAAGAACATAAGGAAGTATCACTGAAGTGTCAATTGCTTGTGTTTATCGTTTTTTGATTGCATTAAATTGCATCAATGCCCTTGTGTGAAGCTTTCGTGATAAGGATGAGCTTCAGATTCAAGATTTGGACTTGAGTTTGCTATAAAGGCATGACTTTTTGTACTTTGACACACAGGTGAAGAAACTGGCAATTATTGACTAGTTCGCCTACCTGCCCAAATCTCCAGATGATGTAGACTGAAGTCTGTCATTTAGCGGTGGTATCACCCCTGCTGCAAAACAACATATCAGCATTGGCTTCTGTTTTTAAATAAGCTGGCAGGGATCCTGCGACAATGTGTCCAATTACATCACTCTGGATCCTTGATAACGTGCTTACATTTCAGAAGTGCTTGGAATCTATCATTTGTATGGAGAGTGGAGATGGGTGAGCATTGTCAGGTGTCACTCATCATGATCGACATCGATCTACATCTCTGCATGATGTGATTGACTTGGGTTTACAGTGGGGTACATTGTTTATTTTTTCTAATAAAGATCTTTTTTCCATAGTGTGGGTATTTTTACTTACTATTTATTTTTTTGTAAATGATTGCCAAAGAGTACTATTCAGATTTGGGCCACCTACTGGCCACCATGCCAATAAAAATTATAAACAATTGAAAGGAGATGTTTACAAAGCAGTGGCACCATTCAAATGTTTCTAATTTTTATCCAATGATGCCACAGCTGTGGATGGACTGTCAAAATGTTTTTTTGCCTTCAAGAGCTATGAATTATAACTTCGCTAGGTACAATGTTGATTATGAAACATTCTTGCGGTGGCTTTTCTTAATTTCCAAACATGTAGCTTATTGATGTTGCACCTCAGAAGAGAAAATCAGAAGAGGTATAAGACCCTGACATCTTTAGATCTTTAAGGTGTCTGGCTTTTTCCAGAATAATGTCTCTGTTCTTGTAGTAAAGTAATTTCCGGAACAATGTGTGGGGTGTAGCAATGGCAATGGCAATTTGTTTGGAACTTTATGTGCTTTTCCTACTGAGACAGCACATAGAGGTATGCTAATATCAGCTCCAAACATACCTTTGAGAAAATTCTTTATGAACTTAATATTGACATTATCAAGGTAGACAGCAAGCACAGAGCACTGGCGTTAGTTAAACCTCAAAGACACCAATTTATTAAGCATAGCACATTTACATAGTTATATAGTTGAATAAAGACACCAGTCCATCTAGTTCAACCTGTGTGGGTGTGTGTGTGTGTTCATGTCAAAAACATTACCTGTATCCCTGTATACTGTGTTTCTCAAGATAGCTGTCCAATAGATTTTTAAAACTATCGATGCTTCCTGCATCCAATTGTGGAAGTGAATTCCACGTCCTTACTTTCCTGACAGTGAAAAATCCCCTACGCAGTTTAAGGTTAAA